AGCATGCTTCTATTGTTTGACCAAATAAGTTCCTGAGGGCTTATGTGTCAGCAACAAAAATCATGTTCTGAATATAGAGTTAGGTAAGGTATAGAAAAGTAGTGAATTATAAACAATTCAGTAAAAAAGATGTAATGGTAGAAAATGAATTAGAATTACACCCTGCAGTTTTCTAGAAATGATGTAGAATATTATATATACAGTATATCTCTACTCTTGAAGGTGGAAATGCATTTTCTATCATTATCCTACTATGCTAAGTAGCATAAAACAAGATACACTAATGGCAAAGATTTTGACAGTAGCTAAAATAGCCTATAGCAGCTATCAATACCCTACCTGTTAATGTTACGTAAAATTAAAAGACCAGCCTGAGGAAATCATCTGCCACATGGCTTGAAAATAGTTACTAGCCCATAGGAGAGAGACAGAAGACTCTTGCTCTCCATTTTAATTTGTTCCAAAAGAAAAGAGCACAATGTCATATGTAAAGCAAAGGATGTTAATATGCCATTGCTAAGGTATGCATTATCTTGGTTCTCTGAAAAAAAATCTTATAGTCATATAAATATTTATTATCTTGCACTGTTATGTAGGTTAGAAGGGTGCATTAGTAGCAAAAAATGTAATGGCTTTTAATAATCTGATTTCAGTCAATAGAAAGATATCCTTTGGCTAAGAAAAGGAAGATTGTGTAAAGATCCACAGTTCTGTGGTAGTCTTAGCTTAATATGACTTAGAAAAGCAGATTGTGTTCTTCTAATTCTAGCAATGTCCAAAAGTGCCAAAATCTTTTTTTCCCAAGAATGAATATGTATGTGTATACCTGAACCAGTGCAGGAAGAGGTAATCTAAGCTATGTTTATTTCAGTGATAACATATTCACTTGCATTAAACCAGGGTGAAATTCACTTGTTCCACCGTGCACTCTGGAACACATAGACTACGTCTACACTGCAGGCTTTTTTTTTTTTGCGCCTGTTCTTGCGCAAAAACTTGCAGAACATCTACACTGCATGCACATTCTTGAGTAAGTAAATTTACAGTAAAGTGTCAGAAAACAGGGCTCCTTACACAAGAGTTATTCCTCTCCCCACCAGGAATAAGCCATCTTGCACAAGAGCTCTTCCACAAGAAAGCGTGTAGACAGGCAGCAGGGGTTTCTTGCACAATAAAGCCCTATGGCTAAAATGGCTATGTCATGGCTCCTTCCCCACTCTGGCATGATAAATGCAGAAGTGGGGGCCAGCAAGTGTACCCCAAAGCCTTATCTACCAGGCTTTGGTATAAAACTTCCCCCCAAGATCTTAAAAACCTAGATCTTGGGAATAAAACTTCCGCTGCCACCACCCAAATGTTGATAAAGAAATCAGGGGAAAGATCATTTGGGAAATCTTAACCCTAAAATAAAAATCAAGGCACACAATTAACCACTGCCAGGTTAATAAAAAGAAAAGAAAGAACCTTTATTATTACAACAATATTCCTGTTGCAAACATAATGACTAGATAGGGAGGTAACAAAATATACTCATGGAGAAACTCCATGGGCCTAGAACTTAGTTACAAAGAAAAGCCAAAACATCTTTTAAACAGTGCCAGATCTCAGATCACATACCCAATCCTTAAAACAATAAAACCTAACGAAACTACCTAAACTTTACCCTACTTACAGAAATTGAAGAATGGTGTCTTGGAGAGAGAGAGACATGCTTGTCCCTCTCTGCAGCTGCAGAGAGCTCACTCGGAGAGACAAAAGGGAGAAAAGAAAAAAACCCAAATTCCTTTGTCCCAGTTTGAAAAGTCCCACCTACATTCTTATTGGTCACTCCACCTGGCTAGGTGTAGTTAACCCCTTAATCCCCAGGCTGCTGGCTAACCCTCATAATCATGCAAAAGCGACGAGGAATCACACTCTTGTGCAAGACCTTTTTCACAAGAACTCTTGTGCAAAACAGTTCTTGCACAAGAAGCCTGCAGTGTAGAAGAAGCTATGGAGTGTATGTGAGGCCTGAGTGTCACAGAGGGAGTCTTCTGATGGGCTTTGCATGCAACACCACCCCTCTGAGTGGGACAGAGACACTGTGGCAGCTTTTCCAGGCCATAGGCTCCAGTGGTAGCTCTGTGAAAGCTGTGCTGATGAAGGCTGCACTCAGCCTTCCAAATTTTTCCTCCTTCCCATGGTGTGACTCAAACACAAGAGCCTACCAGAGGAGGAGGGGAGCAAAGGGGGCAATTGCCCAAGGGCCTGGGTTATTTAAAAGGGCCTGAGGGGTTATGACCACCACTGCTGGCAGCATAGTAAGGCTAAGGCAGGCTTCCTGGCCACCCTCACTGTGCACCACTCCTGTTACCATGTCTCTGCGGCCTGAAGGAAAGGGAGGGAATCTGTCTGTGCTGCCCCTGTCCTGAGCACTGACTCTACAGCTCCCATTGTCCAGGAAATAAAGTCAATGGGAGCTGTAGTGGTGGTGCCTGCAGGGACAGTGTACGAAGCCTCCTGATCCTTACCCCTTGCCTAGCAGACATTGCCAGAGGGGAATGCCAGACGATTTCAGGAGTTATCTGAGGTAACCCTTGACCCCCTCTCTCCCTTCCCCTCCCCCACCCACTTTCTCAGCTCAGAGCCCACACCCACACCTCCTGCACCTCAACCTCTGCCACAACCTAGAGCCCACAGCCTCCTTATGCACCCAAACTCCCTCCCAGAGTATGCATCCCACACCTGTCTCACACTCCAACTCCCTGTCCCAGCTTGGTGAAAGTGAGTGAGGGTGGCAGAGAGTGGAGGTGGGGCAAGGATCTTTGGGTTTGCATAGTTAGACAGCTGGCAACCCTACTGGGTGGGCATGTAGAAGTCCTGGTTGTGCCAGAATAGCATGCCCAGCAGCGCAGCCGGCAGATTGTTGGTCACCAGCCAACGCATGTGCTGCACTACCCAGTAGTCAGGTGGGCTATGCTTGTGAATGAATGGAAGTTCATTGATTGTTCTGCCCTGGGGTCTGGAATTCCTGTTGGCAGGCCTGCAGACATATTATTCTACAGATACATCCAATATACCCAGGTTGCACCTAATAGATCCAGGGTTACCCCCATCTACTCCACACATTTTGACTACCAACTCCAGAGTAGCCCCTTCTTTTTTCACCAGGTAGGAGAGAGAGGAATCAATCTACGTGTAGAGTATGTTACCTTTGCCTACAAATGAAAATGTAAGTGGCTATGGGCCTGATTCTGCAGCTCCTACTCATTCTCTTATCAAAAGGCTCCATGATGTAGACCCAAAATTGTAGTTGTGATGATAGAAACATGTTTATGTTAGGTCAAACGTGGGTAGGAGTTATGGTAGTTTTTAAAAGTATAAAAATTAGCAATATATACAGTACAATATGTACAATAAAATACTGCTGAGAGTATGCACACGGGGACGCAGTAACTGCTGGTATGGGAACTATCACTTTGTATTTCCTGATATGTTTAAAACTGAAACATAACACTGTATAGCTTGTTTATTAGTAATAAACCAAACCGGTACAAAACATTGTCTTAACAACTGCTTATTTGAATATGAACTTGACAACTTTAAGGTACCCATGAATTCTGAAGCGAAAGCCTAAGTTTTGCTCCTATTGCATTGAGGGGAGAGTAGGCCTATTTTGCAAAGGTAAAATTTAAAGGAGCAAACTGACCAAACTTTCAGCATCAATTTCATTCTCCCCTTCAGTATAAAAGTTTAAATAGTATGAGGCTTTCCTTGCCCTCAGAGAAATTGTGAAATGTATTTAAAGATATAATGGCCAACATTTCCCAAGAAACATGAATGCAACTCCTATTGAATTAAGTGAATGTGGCAATCTTGCCTCTGACAGCAAAGGGCTTCATCTGGCAAACGTATCAATAAGTAGCCCTTAATCACATGAGTCTCTCCACTGTTATCAACAAGAATACCCCACTGAATAATACAGGACTGCTAACCTAAGTAATAACCTGTAAGTCTATGTTCAGAATCTAGCCAAAATGTTTGGATTTTATTGGTTTTCTGACATTTCTATAAGTTGAAATGATCTTCCTAGGAATGATATTCTGTGACACAGTGGTGTATGGGATTGAAAACTCACATGCAACCTGCTCAAACATAGAAATAATCTTTCTTATCAAAAAGTAAAGATTTTGTATAGACATTAGGGCCAGATCCTCTTGAACAAATTCTATTGATATGAGGGTGCATCACATATGCAGATCAGCAATAACATATGGCACCTCTTTTGCATTTGACCATGTTTTCAATTTATTTCAATTTGCATTTAATATTTTAATATCAATGGAATTTATACAGTGAAAGAATTAAATGTCTATTTTATTCAGCTTGTGTTACGCCACAGGTCAGACTAGATGACCATAATGATCCTAGCTAGCTTTAAAAAATCTATGAATTTATGGGAAGTCATCAGGGCACATCCTCAGCTAATGTACATAAGTGCAAATCAGTTAGGTTCAGCACAGAGCTATCCTAATTTATGACACCGGGGATGTATTCCAGCACTGGGAGCTAAAATTCAGAAGTGGTACATGAGTTGGTTTTGGAAACTGATTTGGAATGGGTTTGAATTCAAATCAAACCTATTTTTGCCCTTTATTGTTGCAAAAACCAGCTGTGGTCAGATCTGCCAGCGATCTTGTTTTCTATGTGAGATTCTTTTATACTAGATATCAAGTATAAAAAAAATCCTAGTGATTACATAAAAGTAGAAAGGACTGACTAGAGCACCAAGATAAAGCCTGATTCTCATTTACACTAAACCACTTTACACTGCTCTGGAAATGGAACAAGGTTTCAAGTGGCTATGATTACATTTACACTCGCTTGAAGGCTCCTTTTCACCACTAGAGCTGTGTAAAGAAGCCTTGGTTTATAAGAATCAGGCATGACAATTCTACCCCCAAAATTCAATATTATTCTCCATGGTATACTTTACAGTGTCTTGTATAAAATAAACTTACCTGAAGCTTTTCAAGCTGCACAAGCTGTCTGGCCTGTTTTGAGTCAATTACGGTTTAATCTTTATCAGCTGCTGCAAAGATCAAACCTTCAGGTTTTACCAACTTCTGCTGAATAAGCAGCCCTAGTGGCAGGATTGTGACACACCAGGGAATCCTGCTTATTGCAAGCAATGTGAGGGCCTTGCACTTCCTCTGACATTTTAACCATTACTCCTAATATATTCTATCTGTTCTACTGACCTCTATTGTAACTGTTTTGTTTTTCCTCTTCTTTTTCCTCTGTATAGAAGCACTAATCAAACCACTGGAGGCATTTCAATCTCTTCCCAGGACTCCTTTAAATTCAGTTTTCATTGTAATTTGTAATAAAAATTGCATCAGGAATAGTTTCAATGTTTTCTATATTGTCTCTTGGTTTACATTTAAAGAACAGCCCAATAAGAAAAGATCACATTAAGTTAGTTCTGCTTGACTAATGGCATTTTATCCTTCCTCCTCCCTGCCCTGGAATTCAATACCTGTAGTGTACTCACTTTGGTTAATAACTTACTCAATGAGTAACCCCACCAGTGTCAACAGATTTTCTTCCAGAGTAAGGTACTGCCCAACATGTATGGGGATATTAGAATGTGGTTCACAGAAAATATCCCTATTGTATCTAATTTCAAATGTCCTGCTTGCCATTAAAATACACTATATTAGTAATACTACAGACAACTGTGACCCACTTATGAATCACTAAAAACATCAGTTAGCTGAAAACCCACCAACTGTTTATTTTTCATTTTCTTCTGTCCCCTCTGTTTATGATTTAATAATGTGCATTGTCAAATTGCTTCTTTAAATTTTAATTGCTAAATTTAATCTTTGAAGAATATTTTTCAGTATCAAAAATGGAAGTAGAAATAAGGCTGAACGGAAAGCATATGAATAATTCAGTCTTACGGTGTACAGTTTTACACTTAGAAATGAATGATTCACTGTAACCATATAGTTAGCCATCACAGAGAAAGTACAGACATTGAAATATGGAAAAAATGTGAATAAGCCATAATTATTTAATAGCATTCCAACATCATAATTTTTTTAGATTGTACTTTAATTATAATGTACCTTACAGGATGAATTTTGCATATCCAATTTATGTAAGAAGTTTCTTTAAAAAATGAAAGCACGTCTGGTGTCAGCTAGCTATGACTGATTCATTTTGTCAATCATTCTTAAGTGGGTCACTGTTTCCTCAGAGGAATATGTATAGATTTTTTTGTTGGCAAGGATGAAATTTGACATTGCTTCTAATACAGGTGTCTTCTTTTGGGAGTTACAAAGATGATCTGTTCATGATATATAGGAAGCATATGAATATGATCTGTAAGCCCCTTTGAAATCCTTTCACTTTTTAGCAACTATTACATGGCCTGTGTGGGACTATATAGTATATAATGAGCATTACCAGACTAATCTACTAGAGCTCTTTGGCTGTGTCTAGACTGCAGGGTTTTTTCGAAAAAAGTAGGCTTTTTTCGAAAATACTTCACCTGAGTCTAGACTACAGCCGTGTTCTTTCGAAATTAAATTGAAAGAACGCAGCTTTTCTTTCGAAGGTGGTACTCCTCATTTCACGAGGAATAATGCCTTTTTTCTAAAGTGCTTTCGAAAAAAGGCGCTATGTAATGCAAACTGCTTTTTCGGAAAGAGAGCATCCAGACTGCCTGGGTGCTCTCTTTCGAAAAAGCGGCTTGCTTTTTCAAAAGTACTGGTTGCAGTCTAGACGCTCTTTTTCGAAAGAGACTTTTTCAAAAGTATCTTTCGAAAAAGCCTCTTTCGCAACTTCGATTGCCTACATTAGCCACCCTAGTTTGAACTAGGGTGGCAGTGTAGACATACCCTGAATTATTATACCTTTGGGAGACAATTGTATATAGCAGTATAAATAATTTCATTTACTTCAGTGGAAACCCATGAAAACTAATTCTCATTATGTTGCCAAAAACATATCCACTTTAATTCCTACACAACAGAATTTTCATTCATGGACAAAAACCTTCTCACTTCTGCAAAGCTTGAACCTGAACTGCTGTTCCATACTGACAGAAAAAAATTCTGACATTAGCTGTAGGAAGGGCTCTCAGAAGCTGACCAAAAGACACTGACACATTTAATTTTAAACGAAAGGTTCTCTCCTGTGTATAAGGCTCTCTCTATTATTTAAACCCCAATTATTTCCTTAACAAGTATTGAGGAGTACTCTTGCATTAATTCTAGCACAGAACCAAAAATATCTTATGTCTGCATCATTTAGAGTTTCCATACTTTACTTTTTCTTCAACCCCTCAATGCTAAGAATCTGTCATGGCAGTGGTCGCAGCCTGGAGAGCAAGAAAATAGAATATGGGATGTTATTAAATGTATGTTGAACTATAATAAAGCAGGGTGTTCAGTAGCTATGAAAATTGTCAATGTATAGGTATCAAATTCTTAACAATGGACTCTGCCAAGAAACACCATCTGAGAAACTGGCAGTTTCCTTGAATATGATCCACACAACTCACAACACATCCAGTAGGACATTCAGTAGGATGTAAAGAAGCAGCTGTCCTTCAACCGGATTTCCCTAATTATCACAGTTTCCTGGGGACCAAGCCATGACATCTTTGTCATACCCTTAAAAGATTTGTAGGCCCCAAACTAGCACTGGTAGAAAGAAAAAGAAAAAAAAGCATCAGTGCAGATCGAGGTAGGCCCAATGAATGTGTCTTTTCTGACTAGAGAAATAATACATTGTGCTTGACACAACACCTACAATTTTACACCTCAGTGATTTTAATATTATGAATAACAGATATATAATATCAACTTTCAACTTTCTGAGATGGAGGGCTTACAGTGCAGTAGTTTTGCCTGCAATTTAGATTCTTGTACAGCAATTCATTCTCTGCAATATTTGGATTACAGCCATGTTACCGTCTGAATATTTGAATTTTTATCCTATCATATAGTGTAACACTTTTATATATAGTATCAGTTCACATCACAGTAAATAAGTCAATGTAGTTCACCTCTATTTGAGGTAAAAACTGTTCGTATTTGAAGGAAAAACTTCTAGATGGTATTAATAATTTTTACAGTCTTGTTCAGCACTTTGGAAGTAGCTAATTTCCTTAATGTATTTTATGAGTATTAACTCATTAAGCCTCAGAACATATCTGTGAAGGAAGTAAATTATTATCCCAGCCAGAGCAGTATGGGTCTGCTGCCACCTCCAAGTCTAGACTGGCTGTCCAGCGATGTAGACTTCGTGGAAGAAGAAGAAGAAGAAGAAGAAGAACAAAAAAAGTCTCAACCCTGAGTAGGGTTTATGAGCAGATTTTCCAGGGAGTCAGTAAAGAACTAGACCCCGCCCCAGCTATTGACAAAATATCCCCTAATCTACCTAGACTTCTCAAAGTCATTTATCTCACAAAGAGATTTGTCCGATTTGACACTGCAATCTCAAGAATTTGAAGAAGAACATCCTGTTCCTTATGTCAGCAAGAAATTGTTCCAGTGAGAGCTACCATACAAGGTCATCGAAAAGGAGATCCTGGCAGTGAAATAGGCCATCGATGCCCTACGCTATTTCTTGTGGGAGTAGATATTCTGTCTCATTGCTGACCATGCACAATTCAATGAAAGACCACAACCCACAAATTATGTGGTAGTATCTTTCACAGCTACCATATAATTTTCAGATGACCCATTGTGCATGCACAGAAAATAAAAATGTAAACTTCTTTTTACAGGATGGAAGGGACACAAATCACACCCGTATCACCATGATCCATGATCCGAGAAAGAAGGGGTGTCATGGAGTGTACAAATCCCCACACTTGGCCCAAAAGACTATCCTTTTTGCTCAGTTATACAGCTCATCCCTATAAAATTAAATTTTTCTGATTTGTGAAAACTAGGGGGCTACGGCCCCTGCTCCCTATGTTCACCAACACCACTCTCTCTGAGGATAGAGAACCCCTGCTCTCCTCCCGGCCACTAGGGCGGACCAGCCCAAGGCTGTGCCAGCCTGGTTCTTCTCCCTCTCCAGCTACTGCCATGCCAGCTCTCCCCCGCACCCTCCAGCCTGGGTCTTGCCAGCTTCAGCTCTTCTCCTCCCTTCCTGAGGCCTAACCCTAACTCCCCTCAGTGCCTGGGGAAGGCTAAGCCCCAGGCTTGCTTTGTTGGCCTGCGGACAGCCCTGGGCCTGTTGTTGGGGAAGGGAGCCCAGCCGTGGCTAATGCTGCTGCCCACATGGGGCCGGTGGGGCTCTGAGCATCTGAGCCCCAGAAGGGGAGTTGAGATCATGGCCTAGTGCTGGGGATGTGGTAATGTGGGTGAAATGCTGATGTCACTTTGTTGTCCCACAGGAATTTTTTTGTGTAATTTACCTATATATATATATATATATATAAATAAAATAGAGAGAGAGAGATAATTATGAAATATGATTTTCCCTAGTTCCACTGGCAGTGGTGGATTTTCTACACTTGTAGTACTGAAAGCAAATCATTTATGTGGACAGCCTTTACGTATGACTTGAATGAAGCAGCATTGATTCGTACCTTCCTCGGTCAAGTCTAGATCAGGTTTCATAGTTTGGAAGGTCTCTGTGCAAATAATATTGTCTCTGTTACATTTAGAAACAGACTCCAGAAAGTCATCATGGTGACTAATTAGCTCTGTGAAATGGTGGCCAATTAGAGCAATTCCTAAATGCCTGTGGAACATAGACATTAACAATTTTAAAAGGACTCTAGTGTAGAATAAATATACTGCACAGATAATGAGTAAGGAGGCACTTATTTCTTAGCTACATTTACCATCAATCAATAGGAGAAAATTAAACTTATCTTTAAGAAACAAACTGATATCTTAAACATTTGGGTTTTGAGACCACCTGAAAGAAAAGCATGTTTAGAACCTGTGATGCAGTAGAAAAGGGTCTTATCTGTGGCAGAGGCATAGTATATTATACAACTCATATTTTTTATGGAACATTTATGTTTTTCTATCTGAAAGTGAGGCTAAACATGCCTATATTTTACAAGCAT